CACTGTAGCCCTACAGTCCAGAGATCGCTGGTTCAGTCTGGCCTGGGTCATACTGTAACCCTTTTGTTTTATATTGTACAATTGGATGAATAGGGCGTCACGGTGGAACATTGGTTAGCATTACTGCCTCACCTGGGTTTAATTATGGACCTGCGCTGCTCCAGTTTCCTCCCACAGTCCAAAGACGTGCTGGGAGATTAGCTGGCCTCTGGGAAAATTGGCCCTGGTGTGAGTGTAAGTGTGTCTAGGTGTGCCCTGAGACTGACTGGCGTCCCATCCGGGGTGTACGCCGCCTTGCACCCGTTGCTTGCTGGGATAGACCCCAGCTCCCCCCAGATAGACCCTGAATAGGAAATGGATGGATGGAATTGTAAGATCAGTGTGTTCCTTGGCTTGCTATACAACATCACCCCCCGGTGGCTGACCAGGCTGTCTGAAAGCTCTCCATTTTATTTGTTCCAATGTTGTGTGAATAGGGGGGTATAAAGTAAATGGAGTTTTGCTTCTGTTTCAGGTGGATGTGTTTGTATGTTTAAAGTGTATTTTAATCACATTTTTCCTGTACCCATTCTTTCTGTATTCTCTACATCCCCTTCTTTCCTTCCTTCTCTTTCTCTGCGCCTCTCCCTTCTCTCTCTCAGAATAACTGCATCATGACCTCCAAGTACAACATCATCACTTTCCTGCCTGTCAACCTCTTTGAGCAGTTCCAGGAAGTGGCCAACACCTACTTCCTGTTCCTGCTCATTCTACAGGTAAGCCTCCTGTGTTGCCATGGCTGCATAACTTTTTTTGGGAGGGTGGGGTCATCCATTCTACACTACAGTACCTGCTCTGGGATATGTCAGTATGAAGGTGGGGATGGTGACGAACAGGGAACACACACAGACAGACTGACAGGGTAGGCAAAGGAGAAAGATAAACAGGTGCTGTATCTGTGCTACAGATGCATGGAAAGGTCATCCATCAATCCAGTCATGTGTCCATCCAACTTTTGGTTAGGTAGACTCACATTCACATGGCAACAGTACACTCCGTCAGTCCCTGTTTTCTCTGCAGGTGGGGAATGCGGCTGTAGTTTTGAGGTCACCCGTGTGCGCAGACAGCGGCCTGGCATTACATAACCAGAGAGGAGGGGGAGGGAGCGAGAGATTGAGAGTGACACGTGTCTGCAGAACCACTATCAGCTTACAGGACTCCGCGTCCTCACAGTGCTGAAGGACGCAGGGGACGGGCTCGCTCTCCCGCAGACCAGCCCTGAATCAGGCAGAGAGGGAGAGGGAGGGACTGATGGAGTTGGAGGCGACAGAGAGGAGCAGTCAGGAAAGGAAGAGAGAGGGTAGGGAGGCTCTGAGGAGACTCTGGTTAATTCCAGGGTTGATCTGAGCCCAGCACAGCACCAGGAGTGGCACCGAAGTTCCAGCGTGCTGAGATATGTTAGAGCTCCGCTCGTGTTAAACCCTCTCTGTCTGAAACTCTCTTGTGCCCTATCAATTGGAGACTCTTGTCTGTGGCACAGTGCATTGTAGAGCAGTGTTTGTATTAACCTCTTTCTCTCAGTTAATTCCTCAGATCTCATCACTCTCTTGGTTCACCACCATTGTGCCTTTAGTCTTGGTGCTGAGCATCACTGCAGTGAAGGATGCTACAGATGACTATGTGAGTTTCTGAGCGCAGAACCAACACTGATCCAGCACACAGCATCTCCAGAAACCTCCCAGTCACACTGCTGACACTGATCCAGCACACAACATTTCCAGTAACCTCCCAGTCACACTGCTGACACTGATCCAGCACACAGCACCTCCAGTAACCTCCCGGTCACACTGCTGACACTGATCCAGCACAGAGCACCTCCAGTAACCTCCCAGTCACACTGCTGACACTGGTCCAGCACACAGCATCTGCAGAAATCTCCCAGTCACACTGCTGACACTGATCCAGCACACAGCATCTCCAGAAACCTCCCAGTAACACTGCTGACACTGATCCAGCACACAGCATCTCCAGTAACCTCCCAGTCACACTGCTGACACTGATCCAGCACACAGCATCTCTAGTAACCTTCTAGACAGCGCCCTCTAGTGTATTTTACAGTTTCTCAGTTCATGTACTGTAGTTAACACCTCATGTGACACATTTCGCTGACGGTGACCTCACAGCAAGCCAGACTGACTGCATGCCCCTGTTACTTTCTCCCACTGCAGTTTCGTCACAAGAGCGACAAGCAGGTCAACAACCGCCAGTCTCAGGTCCTCATCAATGGCATGTGAGTACGATGTAAGCTGCAGATATTGGCGTTGACTGGGGAGTTTACTTTTAGATTGGAGTAACGATCTGACTGTTAGGTTAGTATTAGTATTGATTACTGACGTTTAAGGTCTTGATTGTTTCATCTGTGAGCGTTAAACTCTCATTGCGTACCATAGTGCTGATTATTGATGTGTACCTTAATTGTAAGGTCATGAGTATCGATGATTATGTCATAAGTACTACATGTGGATATGTAAATAGTTCTTATTGATTCCAGTCAGGTATTCATGTCACAGATATTAAATGACAAGTGTATGCTGTAAATCAGCCCTCCTGTGCCTAGGACTGAAGAGACTCGGTTCCTTTGCTCTGTGTGTATGACATTCCTCTTGGACCTGGAATTACTCTTCTTTGAGCTTGTCCTGCGGCGCCCGTGTCCTCTTCACGGTGGTGGATTGTGGGTACGGGTTTGCCACTCTCTGACAGCAGCTGTGTCTTTCTCTCTGCCTCCCAGCCTTCAGAAGGAGAAGTGGATGAACGTGCGTGTGGGAGACATCATCAAACTGGAGAACAACCAGTTTGTGGCAGTAAGTCCGCTTCTCTGCCAGCAGGCACAGGGCAGACAGTGGGGGGGCGTGGGGGGGGGGGCGGACGGGCTTGCCTGCCGCTCCATCACTCCGTTCTTCCCAGAGATCTGCCACAGTGGGAGTTTCTCTGGAGATTGGGCCCCAGGTTTCAGACCGGGGTCATGTCAGAAGCTGACAGTGGCTCCCCAAAGGAGATGGGGGGGCAGGTGTGCTCTTCGGGCGTCTGGCAGGCCTGCAGTGACGTCAGAGAGAGAGAGATGGAGACAAGACATGCCTCCAATCTGTGATCGATTGCCCATGAGGCACAGAGTAGCCCATGGCCTGTCGAAGGGCCCTCATTCTTGGAAAGGTGGGGTGTGTTCAAGGTGGGGGAGAGCAAAGTACTGCTCTGAAAGCCAGGCAGTCTGCAAATCCAATAAATATTAATAGGTACTTATATGAAGGTGCATATAAATAATGTATTTGGATATGGAAACACAGTAACTCCAGTTTCCACACTGAAAAAGTCTTTCTTAGTATGTTTGTGGAGAAATTCTGTCTGTTCTCTCTGTGTTATCTGCTTCCTGCCTGGTAGAGAAGGCCTTCCTGTCCTGTCCTGAAGCTTTACCATGATTTGCCCTTGTATGTGCTCATCGCGAGCTCTCCTTGTGTCTCTGAAGGCCGATCTCCTCCTTCTGTCAAGCAGCGAGCCACACGGACTGTGCTACATCGAGACGGCGGAGCTGGATGGGTACGAAAACGCCAACACACACACACGCTCCCAGTGCACAGCAGCCTGATCCACTCCAGGTTTTACAGTGCTGTCAAGCTCCCAATGCACAGCAGCCTGATCCACTCCAGGTTTTACTGTGATGTTAATCACACTACTTGTGTGTCAGTCAGTCAGACTCTGAATGCACAGTTATGAATCACTCCAGGTATTAATATCAGCTGCAGAGCTCTTCTTCAGTCTATACTGATGAAACATAGCAGCAAGTATATTTAACATTAATTTTCTCTGTTCAGATTTACTCAAAATGGAAACAGACTTGAAATGCACCTGGCAGCTATATTTTTGTAAGTGGCATGCTGCTAGTTTTCAATATTTATAATAAGAATGCATATAATAATGTTTCCAGCGAATAAGAAATTAACCCATTAAATAATGACTCCTCCTGCTTGCGTGTGTTAGTCAGACATTCAGTGTGTTACCTTGCAGCTACAGTAACCCTGCCTGTCTGTCCATGCTCTATCAGGGAGACCAACATGAAGGTGCGTCAGTCCCTGCCAGTGACCTCGGAGCTGGGAGACCCTGAGAGACTGGCCCGCTTTGATGGTACGGACTCTGTCTGTCCACGCCATCCCTCTTGTCTGTCTGTGACCCAGCTGTCTCTCCCTTCATTTCTATACCTTTCTGTTGTGTGTGCCTCGGTCTGCAGCCTGACATCCCCTTGGTTCTCTGTCTCTGTAATAACCTGTCCCTCTGTCCCCTCCCTGCCTGTACAGGAGAGGTGGTCTGCGAGCCGCCCAATAACAAGCTGGACCGGTTCTGTGGGACTCTGTACTGGCAGGAGAACAAGTACGGCCTGAGCAACCAGAACATGCTACTGCGCGGCTGTGTGCTGAGGAACACGGAGAGCTGCTACGGGCTGGTCATCTTCGCAGGTACTGTCCCTCTGCCTGACTGTCTCACTGCTCAACTGTCCCTCTACCTGACCACCTCTCCGTTTGAAGGACACATAGCTGCTAGGAGTTAGTCTTCTTTGCAGGTTCCGTCTCTCTGCCTGTCTGTCCCTCTGTCTGAGGAACACAGAGCTGCTAGGGGCTGGTCATCTGCATGCATACTGTCCCTTTACCTGTCTCGCCCTCTGTCAGAAGAGCACCGCGATGCTACAGGGTGGACGTCTTCACAGATCCTGTCTCCTCTGTCTCTCTCTCACTCTCTCCGAGAGCCTCACATCTCCACTGTCTCTCTTGCACTCAGGTCCTGACACCAAGCTGATGCAGAATAGTGGACGCACCAAGTTTAAGAGAACAAGTATCGACCGCCTGATGAACACACTGGTGCTCTGGGTATGAAATGTTCTGGGTTCAGTTCCTCTCACCATTATATTCTTAAAACACCCCCTGAACCCTATATCTGTCACCTCCCTTTCCTTCAGTCATCACACACACTGTCCCCACTCTCACTCTTTCTCTTTCGATCCTTCCCTTCTCTCTGTCTGCAGATCTTTGGGTTCCTGGTGTGTATGGGAGTGATCCTGTCCATTGGGAACGCTGTGTGGGAGAAGGAGGTCGGCTCCCTGTTCCAGATCTATCTGCCCTGGGACCAGCCCATTGACAACTTCCTGTTCTCCGGCTTCCTGTCCTTCTGGTCCTACGTCATCATCCTGAACACCGTTGTGCCTATCTCGCTCTATGTCAGGTCAGAGAGAAGGCCTAGAAACCTGTACCTTTCTTCTCTAAAATCCCCACATAAAAATACTGCGCTACCCAATAGGGAACCTGTACCTTTCTTCTCTAAAATCCCCACATAAAAAGACTGCGCTACCCTATAGGGAACCTGTACCTTTCTCCTCTAGGAACCCCAAAGATCACTTACAGATTCTGTATTTCCACCTAATAAAACAGGCTTCCCCCTTGTATCTGTCCTTACAGAGCACCATTCCTAAACTCCTCCTAAATAAACAGAAACTGTATCTATGCCTAATAAAATCCCTGTAACTTTACCTTAGGAAAAAATGTGACCATCCCCATTAAAAAAACTTCACCTATTCCATATAGAAAGTGTGTAACGCCATCCTGTATATACATATGTGCTTATATATGTATAAGTAAAACTTAAATTACAGCAATGGGAGGTTTCGCACTTGCCCTGTAGAAATACTGCACCTATACAAAATACAAACCCCCCACTTTATAGAAAAACTTCAACATTGTGTCTGTGCCCTGAACCACCTCCATCTCAGGAAACTGACTATCGTAACAGTGCCCTAAAGAAATGAGCACCCCTGCCTGTTAGTTTGAATTTGTCTGCTAGTCACGTTCCTTGTTTCCCTCCCTCCTGACTGGTTTATTGATTTTAATTACGATTGTTATTTTGTTTTTATTGTTGCATGGTTTCTTCAGCCCCAAACCCAACAGGTAAGCAATACCCCCCCCACACACACACACACTCAGACACCTCTGCCTCCCCCGAAACTGCACAGAGTCAAGAGAGTGGCTGAATAATTCCTCACTGACCGTGTGTGCGTGTGTGCCAGTGTGCGGGACTCCTCCCAGTATGCGCCACCAGCCACGGGGATAAGACGTTTCTCCCCCCATACCTGGAGCAAGGCTTCCTAGTCATTTCCACCCTCCTGCCACTTATTCCTGGAGCTGGCTGATTTCATCTGCGTGTGCCGAGTGGCCCCGGTTCCTCAGCGTTGCCTCTCTGGGTCTGGGTGAAGGCCGCAGCTATGGATGCACTGTGTGGTGGACCAGCGTGCTTCTGCTCTACCGTACCCACCGGTCCAGAGACGCTGCCGTTTCCAGGTTGTCGTAGTCGCCCCCGTCCCGCTGTGAGACATCTCTGTGAACCAGTCCATCAGCTCGGTGCCAGCCCCGCTAATTTCCCCCCACTCTCCCAGTCTCTCTCCCGTCTGTCTCTCCCCGCTCTCTGCTCCACCTTCGGTCTTCTTACTCTGCTTTTCCCTTGTTCTCCCTGTTCTTCACGTACAGTGTGGAGGTGATCAGGCTTGGCCACAGTTACTTCATCAACTGGGACAGGAAGATGTACTGCCAGCGCCGGAACACGCCGGCAGAGGCCCGCACCACCACGCTGAACGAGGAGCTGGGCCAGGTGGAGTACATCTTCTCCGACAAGACCGGCACGCTCACGCAGAACATCATGACCTTCAACAAGTGCTCTATCAACGGCAAGGCCTACGGTGAGGCCCTCCCTGCACTCCACACAGCCATTTTGTGTAGCTGCTACAGTACTACTGTAGTACTGCACTCCTACAGTATTCCTGCATTATCACTGCAGCCACTGCCTGTAGCCTCTCAGTGTAACTACTACAGTATTCCTGCATTATCACTGCAG